CATGGCAGAAACCAGGGGACACGGATCCAAGCCAACCTTGCCAACAGCACCCCCCACAGGAAGGATAAGGTCCTTCCTTTCACAGGAAGGAAGGATGTCTAATGGCTGTGATGGCTGCTGACTGAAGACGCTGATGGAATTGAAGGAGGCTGAAGATTCTGAGGCAAGAGATTATTCAAAAACCTAAGTCCGTGGACCAGTGGGTAAGATGTAGCCCAGGGCTTAGGTAGAAGGACTCACCACTGGGGTAAAAGCAGGAGACACTCCATTTTTGACAGCTTTAAGAGCTGCACCGTCTGTGTTGGCAAACTGCTGCTCCTGTGGCACTGGTTTCTTCCGATACACAGCCCCATCTGCCTCTCCCCTCACGTGGAACCTCTTCTCCATAATGCACTGGTCACAGGGACACATGGACATCGTCCTTGGAACCTCAGCTTTAACAGCTTAAGAAGAGCTTGTTAGGATGCCTTGATGCATATAATCTGTTCACACCCATACTGTCGCACTCCTAGATACCTGGCCATGTGTTAGCCACACTGCTCTTTCCAGTGACGGCCACAGTCACACATACTAACAGTAAGTCATGTTCTACTCAATCACAATCAAGTTTCTCAGATAAAGTCAGTGGCCCCCACAGCATAATCATAGTTAAAGACGGTTTAACTGAACCCCAGCCTCATATCTGTCCAGTTGTATCTATTTCTCTCACGCAACACCACCTGCCTCACCACTGTTTGTCTCTGTCTGTCTTAGACACACCAGTCTCACTGTTCCGTGACTCTGCCTTATACACAAGCCAGACTCACCACTCTGACTCGGGCTCATCTATACCATATGACTCCCCAGCCTGCCACTCAAACACCCTCATACATCCTTTCCAGTCTGTCATACCCGCAGACTCCACCTCACCAGTCTGTCACACTCACAAATGCAAACCAGTCTGCCTCCGTCTGGATCCCAGTGACACGCACTGAGGACCCCATCCGTCTTCCCCCCCACACCCGCATGGAACAAGGCCAGGTGGAGGCGCTACAAGGCAGGTCTGGGCAGGGCGGGGCGGTGGCCCTCCCGTGGCTGTCTCTCGCAAAGGACTCTGCCCGGGTCTGGGCGGCGGCTGCAGCCTGGAGGGCGACGTGGAAAGGCCACGTGGAGCCGCCCGGGGGAGGGCCGGCTGCGGGCAGCCAGGCGAGGGCGGCGCGGTGCCTATAGTGCGCACGAAGCCGGAGCCCCAGTAGCGCGCAGCGCCACCGCAGCAGGTGGGTCGGACTCGGGCAGGGGCTGGGGCCCAGCGGGCGGCGGAGGTACCCGGCTCCTTGGGGTTGAGGGTGGAGACCTTCTGCCTGCGGTCAGGATGCCAAGAGCGCAGTCCCCCGCATCCCCTGCAGCTTGGACTCGGGCTGGGGAGGTGGCCCTGGCCTCCAAGTACCACTGGAGAAGAGATCATCCCTGAGAGCAGACAGAGGAAGGGTGCAAAGCGCCCCGAAGCCCCTGGGTTTGAGGACAGGTTCGTCAGCCCTGCCCTAGGGTTTTGAGTAGCTACCTAGGGCTCAGCCTCATTCAGTAGATGGAGATGATTTAAAGGACGCTGTCCATCGTCATCCAACTGTAGGTGGCTAGTCTCCATCCATCTCAGGTGTGCGCCCCTTAGACTGCATAGCCTCAGCCATTTAGGACTCCGCCTCCCTAGACCCGGACACCAAGAGGCTAAATCAAGGGAGATGTCTAGATTCACGTAAGTTCTCCACGGTCGACTTATTCAGAAATGACATGGATGCCCTTCACGATGCCAGCTCCTGTCCTGAAAAGGCTCAGGAGAGGCACTGTGGCTATTTGACAGGGATACTGTAAAAAGTATCTGGGAAATAGGAAGCCATGCGAGCTAAATCTCCAAAGACCCCCGCCCATCGTGGAGCATCTGCTAGAACTAGCTTAAATCTATATTATCTCACTGTACCCTCCTGAAGTCCCTAAGAAACACCCTCATCTTAATAATGAAGATTCCAGGGCTAAGAGGGGTTAAGACACCCTCCTGGACCACGAAACAGTGCAGAGGCAGACTCTGACCAAAGGTCCAACTTCAACTTCAAGGCCAAAGTTTCCTCCTGTGATCTAGAACAAAGGCCTAAAGAAAACGGAGGCAGAAGGTTCTGTGTGTGTGTGTGTGTGTGTGTGTGTGTGTGACTTAAGTAACTTCTCTGAGATATATCGCAACTGTTAACTTGCAGTTACGGTGGCTTTCGAGTATTTACTAGGATGGTTGTGTTTATGCATGTTGTAATTATAGGAAGAGGCTATGATCATTTTTATTTTACGAGCAATCGTTCAATGACCACTCTATTTATGTTACTTACAAAAGCTCTTACATGGGCTTCAAACTGTGTAAAGATGAACAAGTCATATTGCATCGCCCTCATTACACCTCACATGAAATGTCGTCTTGGTTCCCTTAAACAATGGCTGAAACCATCAAGAGAATATTAGACTTAAAGTCCATGTGCAGTGCTTCTCTTTTCTGAGGCAGACTGCAATTGAATGCTAAGGTAATCAGGAGGGTCCAGGTGGAAGGTGGAACAGATTTGGACAAAAACACTAAAAAACAAAAAATAAGAAATCTAGTATGCCGTTGTCAAAAGCAGCGCTTGTTAAAATGGAGCCCAGGAGGGTGAGGTAAAGATGGTGTGGTTCCTGAGATCCAGGTGAGGACTGGACTGTGAGAAACACAAGGAGCCATTAAAGGTCTTGGTGGAATTGTCAGGTGTGGTGGTGCACACCAGTAACCCTAATATGTGGATCAGGAGTTCAGGGTTATCCTCAGCTACATGATGAGTTGCAGGCCAGCCTGGGGTACGTAAGACCCTGTGGGATTTTTTTTTTTTATTAATTGATTATTTGAAACAAAGTCTCTCTGTAAGCCTAGATGTTCTGGAACTCCCTTTGTAGATCAGACTGGCCTGGAACTCACAGAGATCCTCCTGTCTCTGCCTTTGAAGTATGGGGGTTAAAGCTGTATGTCAAAACCCTTGGCCTTTATTGTTTTTATTTTATGTGTGTGGTCGTTTGGCCCACATGTATGTGTACTACTTGTGTGCAGTGCCCTCAGAGGATAAAGGAGGACAGAAGAGGACACCAGGCCTTCTAGAACTGGATTACAGATAGTTGTTAGCAAATGTATGGGTGCTGGGAACTGAGCCAATGCTCTTAACAGCTGAGCTGTCTTTCTAGCCCCTGTTTTTTTTGTTTTTTTTTTTTTTGTTTTTTTTTTTTTGCTTGTTGTTTTTGTTTTGTTTTTAAAAAATGTTTTGAATGGACCAGCAAAATGGGTTGAAATACTTGCAAACAAGCCTGAGGACCTGAGTTCAAACTCCATATCCCACAAGGTGGCAAGAGAGAGCCAACCCACAAGAGTTGGTCTCTGACCTCTATAGGTGCATCCTGACACACACCCGCTGATACTCATGCACACATGTACACAGTAATGAAATAAGCGATAAAACATGTTTTTTGAGCAATGAGATTCTAGTAAAGGGAGGTGTATCTGATGTGGGTGTAAAGACAGTCCCACAAGCTGGGACAACAGTCAAAGACTGTGTGAGAAGGAGCTCACTATTCACTCACTATTTACTGCAAGCCCTGAAAGTGGTTCTGGGTTCCGTCCACTGCACACACTAAGTAGTTACATATACAAGGGACTCAGAGGACAGGGAAGAGGACGGTGACACTGATGCACATGGGGAGGGCTCAGAATCAGCACGTGATGTATAGAGCCCAGTGCACACGTGGCTGAGACTTTCAGGACAGCTGCAGCAGAGCCGCAGACAGCCAGGCCTGTAGGCAAAGCAGGTCCCACACCTAGGAAGCCAGCTCTCCAAGGCTGGTATTTGGATTATTACGATTACTTAACAAGCCACTCAAAACCTAAACAGTTTGGATTTGAAGATAGAGGAGAGCCCCTGAGTCCTTCAGAACCCCTCCCGGTCTTCAGAAGAGGCTCCATATGTGGCAGTATGGAGTGCTCCCAAGTAGTCTCAGGCTTCCCAGAGTTAGGCACGCGGCTTGTACAGTTTGGGCCAAAAGCAGCTCCAGAGCTTGCCTTGCTCCTAGGCAGACTAGATTATCACATTGATGCTTCAGTACCAGCTAGGCTATAGGAATCCTCTGTAGGCTAAAATGCAGGATATAACAGCCAGATATGGGGGCACACTCCTGCAATCAGCACTTGGCAGGAAGCTACATAGGGAGACCCTGTTTCATAAAACAAACCAGAGTTAGGTGTGGTGGAGCATGAACTCTCTGTTCTCGGGAGGCTGAGACAAGAGGATTTCAGTGAGTTTAAGGCAAGTCTGAGCTAAATGAGTTCAAACCCCACCTGGATTGCATAGTGAGACCTCGTTTCATAAAACCAACCAAACGAAACAACTTAGTAGCTTCAAATGATAACCTTAACTTTACCCCAGATGCTGTCTAGGCAAGGCAGTGGGGACCAGCTATCTTCTGTGCATACTGCTGGCTAGGCCAGTTGAAAATGGATTCATTCTCTCGCTTCTCTGGCTGGGAGGTAGCTGGGCCCCAAGAGCTCTATCCCTATGTGGTCTTGTAGGGGTTTGTGGGGAGATAGAGAGGGGCAGAGGCGCTACGTGGACCTGGCAATCTTTTCAGCTATCAGTCACCCGGAAGCCAGTCACTAAGTCCAAACATGTAAGAAGAAGTGAACTAGGCTCCAGGTTTAGTGGGAAAAAAGGTAAAAACAAAATGAAGACATGGGCCAGCAAGACAGGTAGTAAAGGTGTTAGACTTTAGTCTGATACCCAGGGTAGAAAGAAAGGACTCCTAAATGTTATTCTCTGACCTCCATATGTTTACTCGCACACCGGCACATGTGTACACACACACACACACACACACACACACACACACACACAAGAAAGATTCTTTCTTTCTTTCTTTTTTTTTTTTGGTTTTTTGAGACAGGGTTTCTCTGTAGCTTTGGAGCCTGTAAACCAGGTTGGCCTCAAACTCACAGAGATCCACTTGCCTCTGCCTCCCGAGCCCTGGAATTAAAAGTATGGAACACTACTGCCCTGCAAGAAGGACAATTTTAAATTAAAAAACAAAACCCAAAACAGCTATAGGCATGTTTTTGGGGTCCCTGCAGTCAGTCTAATGAATGAATGGATTAGTGGGTGGAAGGGCATTTCCTGCTGGGCCCAAACTGCCACCACCAGGGTTGTTTGTTTGTTTGCTTGCTTTTTGAGTTCTTCTTAAAAGTGACCTTAGTGGATGACAACAGATCCAATCCAGCTCTCAGGAATTTAAATGATGTGAGTCCCCTGCAGCCCAGATCCTGGCAGGGAACTGACGGGGAGGAGAAGGTAATTTGGAGGACTCAGGTGGGAAGACCAGAAGGGGAAGTGTGTGCAAAGACACTGCAGAGCAGCCAGGACAACTTCTGGAAGGAAAAGGCCTCATCTCATTTAGCTACCACCGAGCCTGCATTGCCGATGGAGACGGGAGAGAGAGAGGGTACACAGGGCAAGGCAGAGCCTGCACTGGGACCATGTTCGAACATTGGGTTAGACCTCATTCTCCTAGCAGTTCTGTATTTCTGTGTCCCTCCTTTCCTCTCCATCAGGATCTACATTGCCTACACCGGCCTCGAACTCACAACCGTCCTATCTCAGCCTCCCAAGGAGCTGCAATTGCAGGTATGTGCCACTCACTTCTGTTCATTTGTTCACTGTTTAAACATGTGTGTCTTTCCCTGATGATGTAATTTTGCAAGCCTTAAGGAGGAAAAGTCGTTTGATCTTATCCCTTCAACTTACTGCTAAGAGAGTACCTCGGTTATACGTAGGAAACTCGAGACAGTAAGGAAATGGGCCGGGGAGATGACTCAATGGTTAAGAGCACAGTTGTGGCTCTTACAGAGGACCCGGGTTCAGTTCTCAGCATCCACATGGTGGCCCACAATCTTCTGTAATTCCAATTCTAGGGATCTGATGCCCTCTTCTGATCTCTTTGGGCACCAGGCATTCACAGGGTACACATACATATGTGCAGACAAAACACTCATATACATACACACATACATGCATACATACATACATATATAAATCTAATATAGATTTGAAAAATAGTCTAACAGTACACTTCAGTGGTAGGACACATGACTCGCATGTGTGAAGTTTGGGCTTGACTTCCCAGCACTGAAAAACAAACAAAAAAAACCCAAACAGCTGGACACCATGGCACACATCTGTAAACCCAGCACTTGGGAGGCAGAGGCAGGGGAACGAAAGGGGACATGTGCTACTAAGGGAAAGGTTGTATTCTATAAATTGTAGAGTTGCTGTCCTCAAATTCCGGCCCTCCTGGTCTTGTCATTTGACAGTAGCTTTCTGCTACTGTAACAAACATTTGAGACCATCAACTTAAAAAGTGAACAGGTTTACTTTTAACTCTTAGTTTTGGAGGTTTTAGCTTGGGGCCAGTTGGCCTGGTTGCTTCTGTACCTGTGGAGAGGCAGGCAGCACATCATGGCTGGGTGGGTGATAGAGCTGCTCACCTCATGGCCAGGACGGGAAAGGGAAGGAAGACAAGGCTGGGACCTTTATTCCATGCATCCCTAGAGAGATGGAGATCTCCCATTAGACAACATTTTTTCCCTTTTCTCCCCTCCCCTCTCTTGTGATGTATGTTTGTGTAGGCATTCATGTGGATGTGTATACATGTGAGTGTGAGTGTACATGTATGTTTGTGTATGTGACTGTGGAGGCCAGAGGCAGACATTGGATGTATTCCTCAATCACTCTCTTAATTCTTAAGACAGGGTCTCCCTGAACCTGGGCTCACTAATCAACTAAACTGACTTGCTAGTGAGCTGCAGAGATCCACCTGTCTCTATCCCCCTCACCCCCCGCTTACCCTCCAGGTCGGCTGGAGATGGGATCTCCAGTCTTCATGCTTGTCCAGCCAGCACTTTACAGACGGAGCCACCTTCCCAGCCCAGGATCAGCCTCTTAAAAGTTCTATCCTCTCCCAGTGGTGCTGGATTAGACTCACGCCTTCACCTCTAATACAGGTCTTCAGAGGACCGTGCAGATCCAAGCTACTGCCCCATGGTGTCCTCTTTCTTATCTAGCCCAGGGTCCACACATCCTGGCATTCTTTTGACCTCTCTGGCAGCTGACTCTCTCAATCTCTATGGACCCCTTCTTTTCATATTGGAAACTGGACCCCAATTGGCCCTTCCTTGGTCCAGAGACTTGGCATACAAAGAGCTTTTAAGGTTGCCTAGTTCCCGAGCCCTTTGCTGCCTGCCACACAGGTCTCTGGGGCAGGGGCTCCTCTCTAGCTGCTCCTCCCCCGAAAGGAAACAAGGGTTAATCTGCAGAGCTTGGATATCCTTCTGTTGACGTTTCTGCTTCCTTTTGAGGCATCCAGGTGGCCTCCAGACTCTAACTGCTGTCAATTCATTGAACTTCATGAGTGCAGAAATTTAGACTTTTGAAATTCTCAAATCTGTCCTCCTCCCCCCCCCCCCCGCCGCGTAAATTTTATAAGTTTAGGAAACTGGAAAGATAGTTCAGCAGTTAAGAACTCTGCTCTTGGGGCTGGAGAGATGGCTCAGAGGCTAAGAGCATTGCCTGCTCTTCTAAAGGTCCTGAGTTCAATTCCCAGCAACCACATGGTGGCTCACAACCATCTGTAATGGGGTCTGGTGCCCTCTTCTGGCCTGCAGAAGAACTCTGCTCTTCAGAGAAAATGTATAGATCAATAAAAACAGCAAAAACAAAAGAAAACAAACAAAATCTCTGTTCTTCCAGAGAATCCAGATTCAATTCATAGCACCCACATGGTAGTTCACATCTGTAACTTGGGTCACAGGGAATCTGATGCCATCTTCTGGCTTCTGTAGGCAAGAGGCACATGTGTGGTACACAGACATACATGCAGACAAAGCATCTACATATATAAAATACATAAAAATTTGAAATTTAATTAACAATTGGGAAGTTTAGACATTTTCTTTTATCGTTCTTGTTTTAGTTGGTGGTGATGTTTTTTTTTTTAAGATTTATTTATTTATACCTTCATGTATGCCCACACGCCAGAGGAGGGCACCAGATCTCATTACAGATGGTTGGGAGCCACCATGTGGTTGCTGGGAATTGAACTCAGGACCTCTGGAAGAGCAGTCAGTGCTCTTAACCTCTGAGCCATCTCTCCAGCCCAATGTGGTGACGGTTTTTATAGGACAGGGTCTTACTCTGTAGCCTTGACTGGCCTGGAACCAGCCAATGCTCTGAAGCTAGAGTTCCAGCTGGTTGGGAGCTCTTGACATGGCTGTTGGAACCCAAACTCAGGTCCTCTGGAAGAGCCACAAGTGCTCTTAGTCTCTGAGCTGTCTTCTCAGCCCCCTTTTGTTCACGTGCACAGAATACAGCTATTTGGATGGAGCCTCCTCTCAGTCTGTTCCTATAGGCCAGCCCACGCTTTATCTCTGGCCTCCTCTGCTACATGGACCACTCAGACGGGTGACTCCAGTTCCCATGGACTGAGTTTGACAGACACTCCTGACGAGGGTGATGTCACACTCAACCCCCATGACTGGTTCCACTGTGCTTTGGAAGACTGAGAATTTCTTGCCCAGTGCTCCTGGAGGAATGTGCTCTGCTTATATCCAGCCCTGGGACATTTGCTACCATACTCGCAGGTGTGGCAGGCTAGCTCACCCTGCGACTGGGCTGTGTCCCTTTGGGGGTTTATGTTAACATGGAGAACTCAGTTCTAGTTTCCTACCATAAATGACCACGTTACATCATCATCTCTCCTTGGTACAACTAGAACCCAGGGCTCTCCAATCTCAGCTAACGCTACAAATACCTTTCCGGCAATAGTGACTTCAATGTCTCTTTGGCCACTGGTGCTTAGAGAGATCAGCAAGCTACATGTACTCAACGTAGCTGTCAGGACCAATCATACACATAGACAACGAATATAGCAATGAGGGTGGGAGGGTAGGGGTGCAGAGACAGCTTAGCTGGTCAAGCACAGGCATGAGAACCTGATTTCAATCTTCAGCACCCATGTAAAAAGTCAGACTCAGGGCTGGGAGGTGTTCACTTGGTAACGCGCCTACTACGGATCTGAGTTCAGACCCCCAGAATTCATGTAAAAAGCCAGACACAGTAGTGTGTGCCCGTAACCCCAGTGCTGGGGGGAGTAATGGAGGGATAGAAACAGGTGGATCCTTGAAGCTTATTGGGCAGCCAGCTTAGCTGAACTGATAAACCTGAAATTCAATGGGAGATTCTGTCTCAAAAAATGAAAGTGCTTTGGCAGCTAAAGATACCTACCCTACAGGCCCGGGGACCCGAGATTAATCTGGAGAATCTATGGAAATGCAGTCTCCATAAAGTTGTCACCTGACCTCCACACGCACACCCGTGGCACACACGCCCACCACCACATCACTCACAGCAGTAATACATTTCTAAATCAATCAAAGTTTCTCATGACCAAGGATAGTGATCAAAGAAAGATATTCGATGTCAACTTCTGACCCCCACATGCGTGGGCGCAACTATATTAACATGCTGATACCACACACACGCACACACACACCCCAGGCACGGCAGTGTGACCTGGAATCGCAGTGCTGGGGAAGTCGAGACAGGAACTAGGACTTGGTGAGCCTCAGGTTCTGTGAGAGACTTGTCTCAAAACAGAAAGGTGGACAGGACAGTGAGCAAAGACTGAGGAAGATTCCCCAGTGTTGACCCCTGGCCTCCACACGTTTACGCGTATGCAAGCACACATGTGTGCACTCACACTTGCACGTAAAGGGAAATGAACACAGGTCCTATGCTGTGGTGGCTCGCTCCATCTTTTTCTTTCTTTCTTTTTTTAATTATTTATTTATATATAGTATATAGTATTCTGGGCACCAGGTCTCATTATAGATGGGTGTGAGTCACCATGTGGTTGCTGGGAATTGAACTCAGGACCTCCGGAACAGCAGTCAGTTCTCTTAGCCTCTAAGCCATCTCTCCAGCCCCCACTCCATCTTTTTCTTAGACTTCTACCCTTTGGCCTTCCTACTCAAGGCAGCTCCAAACAGTAAACACGCTTATCTCCCTGTGAGCCAGGGGCTTGCCCACTCTACCTCCAGGCTCTCAGGGAACTGATATCCATCTTGAACGTGGTTCTGGACCTTGTTAGGATCACGGACCTGAAAGCTATGGAATGTCCTTTAGGAAAATCTAGTGCTTGCCTGAATTTTAGGTTCTGTGGACGAGAGGTCCTGACTCTTTGCTTGGACCATCAAACATCTGACTACTTTTCTGCACAAAGATGGCTTTTTTTTGGGGGGGTGGTGTCTCAGTTTAGGTGGGTGTCTGCCTCCTTGGAAATTCATATTATATGTGCATCCCTGGGATGAGCCAGAAAGCTTAATGCTCTGTGTTTTCAAGAGGCTCATTTTGTTTTTGAGTATTTCCATATAATCAAGTCTGCATCAAGTCTGCATAATGTAGAGACAGCCAGACTGGCTTTGAACTCACAATCCTCCTGCCTCAGACTCCTGCATGCTGGGTTTGTTTGTTTGTTGGGTTTTCAAGACAGGGTTTCTTTACATAGCTTTGGTTGTCCTAGAAACTAGCTCTGTAGACCAGGCTGGCCTCAAACTCACAGAGATCTGCCTGCCTCTGTCTCCTGAGTGCTGGGATTAAAGGTGTCTGCCACCATTGCTGGCTGAGTGCTGGCTTTATAGGGCATGTACAACCACACCAAGCCTCAGTAGGTTTTTCCTAAGTGCAGACTCCCAGGCTGTCTCCCTCTTTGTCTATTTGCATGTTTTGGTCTTTGGGGGAGCCCCAGCATTCTCATTCTGATCTATCCCCATCTGTAAATGAAGTGGCCACTCTAGAGCATTTAAGACCAATGGGACACAGGGAGGAGCCCTCACCCCCAGAGCTGCCTCCCACAGCAGCTCTGCTTCCATGCACTTAAACCCTGGGGCAGGATTTATGTGTTTTTCTGTAATCGGGATTTATATCTATGTCAAGCCAAGTTCCATGGAGGTTGCTGGTGTGCATGTAGAGTCCTCCCAGGTGTCCTTCTCCTATGCTGCATGTTTCCACATGCAAGGAGGGAAGTCATTTCTGTCTGATCCGTCTGCCCCCCAACACTGTGGCAGATACCCCTCCCCTGACTCTCAGATTCTGTTCCTAGCTCCAGTCTCCAGAAGGATGTGGCTGATGCAAGCGTTGATGCTGACACTATTGCTGTTACCTTTGGGTCACTCTGCTCCCAAGGATGGAGCCGCAAGGTAAGAGGATTAGGAGGGCAGGGCCCTGAGCTGTGGTAGGGAAAGTCTCTAAAAAGATGTCAGAACTCCTCTGAGGAGCCAGGAGCCCACTGAAGTATAGCCTCCTTCATCTCTGTGCTCATACACAAACCTGCCTTGTGATTGTCAGAATGTCACAGGTAGGGATTTAGTGTGTGTGTGGAGACCCCTTTGCAGCCAGGACTTCAGCTCCAGTCCTGTGTAAGGCATGAGGAGGTGGCTAGAAGCTGGGACAGGGGCTGTGATCTGTGAATCAAGACCTGACATTGGGAATACCAAAGGAACAGGGATCATTAGCTAACTTCCCAGAACTGCTTTTGTATACTCAGTATGTGCTGGAACAATCTTGGCAGCAGTGACCAAAGTGGCTGCCACAACTCCGCTGATTCTGCCAGTCCAGGCTGATGTGGGCACACAGTCACCCCAGGCAGAAGTAGGAACACTTCTGAGACCCCAGGCAGACTTAAAGTCCAGGCTGACATCCATGCCCTCTGCTTGAAAAAGGAAGAGGCAATGGTGTGTCATAGGGCAGACTAGGAAAGCTGGGCACCACTATCAGCCTTAGCTTGTGATCTACTCCTTGGCTCCTGGCATTGAAGAAGCAAGACCACAATCAACCACTGTGTCTTGACACTCTTGACTGTCTTGACACTATCTTATTGGGCCACCACTGTGTGTCTACTATGGTGGCCTTGATCTCACCAGGAATTTTCTTCTTTCATTTCAATTTGTATTTATTTACATGTATGTGTCTGTGTGTGCATGAGTGTGGGGGTCTCTGCAGAATCTATAAGAAGGGGTCAGGTCCCCTGAAGTTGAAGTTATAGGTAGCTGTGAACCACCCAATATGGGTCCTGGGTGAACTGGGGTCCTCTGGAAGAGCAGCAAGTGCTTTTTGTTTGTTTGTTTGTTTGTTTTGACTTTTTGAGACAGGATTTCTCTGTGTAACAGACCTAGCTGTCTTGGAACAAGCTCTTGTAGACCAGGCTGGCCTCCTGTAGACCAGGCTGGCCTCAAACTCACAGAGATCCACTTGCCTCTGCTTCCCGAGTGCTGGGATTAAACGTGCAGCAAGTGTTCTTAACCACTGAGCCATCAGTCCCTTCTTTGGGTTTTCTAGAACTAACTAAGGCACCTAAAAATAGTCTTGGGGGGTAAGGTTCCGTTTCCAGTGACATCCAGAAGAGTTTTTTCCCTACAGCCTTTTCTGGGAAATTAAAGGAACAAGTCCTTTTGGATCTAGGGAAATCTGCCAAGTGGCTGCTAAGCTAGGCCCTGGGCTGACACCTCTCTGCCTGTTCTAGGCTGGACCCTGAAGTGCAACAGCAGCTCACGCCCAACCCCTTCGAGCCAGGCCCTGACCAGCTCCAGTGAGTAAACTGGGGGCTTCCAGTAGGTATTACCTGGTCAAGCCTTGGGTCACAGACAGGACTCTCCTGACCAATTCGCCACTTTCTCGACAGACGGCTGCGGAATTACCTCAAGGGACTAGAGAAGATGGAAGAGGATCCAGAGCAAATGGACCGGGAGCGCGGTGAGGGGCTGGCGCTTGGCACCAGCCTGGGAGGCTCTGGGGGCCAGAGCTGGGGCTGAGCGCTGGCTGTCCTGTGGGTTCCCGCCTCTTGTAACCCAGATTCTCTTCTCTAGTCCTGCTCTACCTCTTCGCTCTTCACGACTATGACCAGAACGGACAGCTGGATGGCCTGGAGCTGTTGTCCATGCTGACGGCAGCTCTGGCCCCTGAAGCTGCACACTTTCCCATCAACCCGGTAAGCACTGCTGGAAGCTGAGGGAGTTGGAGCTGCGGTCCTTTGGTAGATCCCTGGAAAAGGAAGTTCAGACCCAGTGCAGCAGGGATGAGGCTGTTGGGGAGGGGCTGGGTTCCTGAAAATGTTTATGGTAACTGTTTCCACAGGTTATCCTGGTAGTGGACCAGGTGCTTGAGACCCAGGACCTGGATGGAGATGGGCTCATGACTCCTGCAGAGCTAATCAACTTCCCAGGAGATGCCCCCAAGCACACGGAGTCCCTTCCCCCAGCTCTCCTGGAGCCACAACCTGCTGGCAGGCCGCTGCATTTAGCTAACAGTCCATTGCAGCCAGAAACCCAGCAATCCCTGGAGACTAGAGAAGAAACTAGGGGCCAGGTGGAGGCCAAAGGGGAGTCTTTGGAAGCTGTACAGGAGGCTGGACATCAGACAGGGGCCAAAGGAGATAGCCTCAGTCATGAAGGGGAGACTAGAAGACAGGCGGAGGCCGAAGGAGAAGTCCCAGGTCCCAGAGAGGATGCTGAGGGGCAGGAGGGGAGCAAGGACAATGGAGGGGAAGTCAAAGAAATGCCAGTGGAAACATCAGACACCATAAACACCCCAAATGCGGTCGAGGCTCACAGTATTCAACTGGAGAACGATGAGATATAAACTCAATGACGCAGGCTCCTGTCCCTTCAAATCTCAGCGCAGAGCAGAGGCGAGCAGAGTGGGGCATATATGTGGGGGAAAAGGGTCACCTCTGACATGGGTACAGTGGCACAGGCTAGTAATCCTATAGCTTGGAAGACAATAGCAGAAGGATTAAGAGCTCCAGGCTAGCCCAGGCGACATAGCTAGTTTGAGGCCAGGCTGGGCTGATTAATAAAACCCTGTCTTGATGAGAGAGAGAGAGAAAAAAAAAGCAACTCCTACATTTCTTTCCTGGCCTCAGGAGGAAGCAAGGCTTTCTGTGCGGCTCAGGGAGACCCTAAGCTGAGAGGCAGCTTTCAGGCCCCAAACAACCAATAAAGAACAGAATGAATTCATCTCCATAGTTCTGTGTCCTTGATCCAGCCCGCCCAGCTCCGTCTCCTCAGAACACAAGGGTTTGGGGACTGGACCAACTTACTGAAGGGATGAAGACTCAGCTTTCTCAGGGTTTCTGACCAGGGGCACTGAGACAGTAAACACAGCCAGCTGCAGACAAGCCCGGGGATGAAAGCTCAGTCCACCCTGGGAGTGCAAACTCTCTCCCCAAGTTCCCTCTTGACCTGCTATTCAGACCCCTGTGATCCCTGTAGCTCAAGGGCGGCAGATGGTCCCCCACTCCCTGCTACCATCTCCACTACCCACTTCTCTTCCTCTTCCTCCTCCTCCTTTTCTTCCAGGCCCTAAAGGTATGTAATGGCCGCAGTGGTGAGGGAACCTGCTTTCTGGGTCCGTGGGGCTTCTGTGTCCAATACTACCTTTGTTCCATGGGCTTCCCAGGAGCCTCAGTGTGCTCAGAGCTTCCCTTGAGTCAGGTTAGTACTTCAACCCCAGATGTAGCCTGACACAGGACGCTGCTGCCCCTTGGGAAGATGAGATCCAGGTGACATATTGAAATCAAATTCTACTGTAAGATTCTGGACAGTTGGACAAAAATGTTGACTTCCTTGTCAGACAGATGCGAATTCAAATAAGTTATTTAATTGTGTACCATCTTAGCACACATTGCTTAGTCCATTGTCTTTAACTTCCCATCTGTCAAATGGAGCTGATTTTTGCCTGGCCATAGAATTATTGCGAGGATAAAAATCAGATAAAATGCTTTATTAAAATGTCAGCCTGGCGCTTGGTGTGTACAAGGTTCTCAGAAGGTGTAGGAGTAAGGAAGTCTGTGTTTTTGTCCAACTCTCTGGAATCTCCTCTTAGAATCCAATCTTGACACGTCACCTGGATCTCAACTTCCCAAGGGGCAGCAGCGTCCTGTGTCAGGCTACATTTGGGGTTGAAGTACTAACCTGACTCAAGGTAAGCTCTGAGGACACTGAGGCTCCTGGGAAGCCCGTGGAACGAAGGTAGCTTTGGACACAGAAGCCCCACGGACCCAGAAAGCAGGCTCCCTCACCACTGCGGCTATCACATAGCTTTAAGGCCTGGAGAAAATTTTTTTTCCTATTGTTTTGTTCTAGAGAGGGATGGGCTGTCCTCCCTGGACTGGATGGCTCAAGGCCCCTACCTTTCCTGAAACTCCTCTGAGGACAGCTGAGGAGCTGGTGAGGCCGGAGCATGCCTGCTATTTTAGGCAGTGTAGCCTCTCCTCTGGGTCTGTGTGGGTGGGGCTAATTTGAAGAATGAATTAAAAAAAAAAAAAAAAAAGATGGAGGACTGTGGTATAAAAGCCTCCGGAATCTCAACCAGAGCAGTCTGACTATCACAAAGGACAAACGAGCTGGGCCTGTGATTCCAGCACAGGGAGGCTGAAACTCTAAGTTCATGACCAACCCTGGGCTGCATGAGCAGACAGAAAACAAAAATAGACCGATAACAAAAATCAGACAGACAAAGCTGGCTTGGGGAAGATTTATTTGCTCCGAGCATCTACAGAATGGAGTTGGTATCCAGAAACATGAACACAGACAGAGTTCTCTCCGCAGATGCCACCTGCCCAGGGAACGGGGCAGCTGGATGCCAGGCTGGCTGAAATGGTGCCAGCCTCTGAGAGGTTGAGCTGGTGCCTCTTACTGCCCACCTCTCACACAATGCCCTCAAAGCCCTGCAGGCCGCACTTCCTGCCAGCCACTTGGCAGCCAAATCTCAGGGCCTCCTGCACACTGTTTCCTGGAGAGGGCACAAGTGCCTGGGTCAGCCTGGCGTTCAGAGAGAGACAGACCCAGCCCTGCCCTGATCCCGGGCTGAGGGACTCACCCTTCGAAAGGCTGAAGATAACGGAGGCATTGAAGGTGTCTCCAGCCCCCAGGGTGTCCACTACTCGGGGTGGAGGGAAGGCATCCGAGTGCAGAAGTTGACCATCAGGGCCCAGGGCATCAGCGCCCTCCTCAGCCCAGGCGCAGATGAGTGTAGCCCTGTAAGATCCACTCAGTGGGTGTTGATCCTCTTCATCCCCCAGCCCCCTCAGGCTCCTCCCTGGCCTTCCCACTTACCCTTTCTTCACACGACCATACAAGCCTCTCAAGGCCTCTGCTGCTGACTGGAACCCCAGGTGCTTGGCCACATCTTTGCTGACAAACACCTGTGGGCAGTGAAAGAGAGGTTGGCAGTCACCTCTAATGAGTCACTCGCTACTCCTGGCCAGTGTTACCTCCACGTTATAACTAACCTCTTCTGGCACAACTCTTCCAACTTAGTCACGTTAATGCCTTGCATGGCATCTCACAGGGACACATCCCACAGGGACGCATTTTAAGCCTGCTTTATCTGTGCTAAAATACAGTCTGTGGATTGTGACACTGTGGGCCTGGTATTTTTATTATGGGCTGAGGGAATTCAAAACCCAGAAAGAGTCTGGAGCGCCATCTTGGGGTGAAATCAAACCAGGCTGGCTCTCAAGAGTGGGTTCTGTTTTGTCTGCTCCCCACACAGCCTAACCCTTCAGAGAGAGTTTCTTTATCTAAAATAAGGCAACCGGGGCTCTAGAGCCCTCTCCTCAGTGGCTTCATATTAGAGTCCCTAGAGACAGTTCTGGGGGAGGGAGGATCAGCCTGACATATTTTTAAACTGTGCACCAATGAACAGCATCTAGACAGTATCCACCTAGCTTTAGCTGTGATCCCGGGATTATTGCCTAAGTTCCCTTACATACAGTCCTGTCTACATCTTCCTCACCCTCCTCTCATTGCTACTGACTCTCACAACCTGCCACCTATGTGGGGGGGGCAACAAAACAACTGGGAACCTCAGAGCACAGAGGTTCCCTTCTTCATTTTGCAAAGGGAAAGACTGAGGCGGGCCGGGGGGGGGCCAAACAAGCAAGGAGATGCCCATGGCTATCTGCGTTCTGTCCATCCTTACTCTTATGTATTTACCTGAGCAGGAACATTCTACTTCTGGGCTACTTCCAATTACCATAACTGAGGAGCTGTGACCCACTGGGAGCTGCCAAGCTGATACTCAGAGCCTGGTAGGCAGGACTAGGGTCCTCTCTAGTTCGCTTAAGAACCCAGTCAACTAGAGGTGACCAAGAGAAGCTGCAGGGCACTTACCACCTCACCATAGCCAAACAGCTGGAAGAGCTCTTCCCGGGGTTTCTCGATCTCCACCGACACCCGAACTCTCTGGGGTAGAGGCTGCTTGGCGTTGTACTGCTCTATCCGCTGCAGCATCTTCACCTGCTCTGATGCATTCCGGCCCTGGGGCAGGACAGGGCAGCTCAGAGCCCTGCTGCTAAGAGTTCCTTCTTCCCTCCCTGATATCAGGAACTCTGGGTGAGCAGGGAGAGGGGTTGGAGGAAGCTGGGCTGGAACTCCACTGGAGAAGCATAATTCTAGGACTGTCATGGGCCTTGCAGACCTGATCAGCCTAATTTTCCATTTTGAAAATGAATCTGAAGAATAAAAGAGGCTGGACTTTGCATGCCTGTGACCACAGCATTTGGGAGATTGAGGCAGAAAGGACTGTGAATTCCAGATCAAGTTGACCTACATAGTAAGACCCTGGAAAGGCCGTGGTGGAGAAAGAAACAAGAAAGCAAAGGGTAACTGGGTGTGGTGGCTCACACCTCTAATCCAGCACACAGAAATTGAGTCCAATCGCCATGAGTTCAAAGTCTGCTGGGCCTACACAGTCAGACCATGTCTCAAAAAACAAAACAAACAACAACAAAAATCCCAAAGGGACAGAGGGGAGCGAGAGGAGAGGGAGAGAGAACAAAGAGAGAAGAGGTGAGAAAGTGAAGAGGAGATGGAGACAGGAAGAGGTAGGAGGTGGAGGGGCACGGGAAGAACCCACACTGAGTCAAACGGCAAGCCTGGACTTCTCAAGGCTTCCTCCCATCTGGATCCTAAAGCTTCTCCCTTGAAAAGAAAGTTCTCGTTCCCTTCAGGCCCCCTCCTTCCTGTCTCCTCAGAAGTGAAAGAAGTCAACTCCTAAGCAGCCAGCAGAGGCCAATACCAGAATCCCTCCAGCCTTGACACAAAAAGGGGGACCTTTGTCTGATGCCTACATGATGTATTTCCTGATCTTTCTGCACCTCAGTTTCCTCAGAGGAAAACATAAGAAAGGGTGGAGAGGAATGGGGGAGGGGTACTCATTATCCTTATCGTACTCCACGGTTCAAAGAAATCACGGAAGAGGCTGACCATGGCAGGCTAAGCCCCTAGGAACACAGGTGGGGCAGGGCTTGCCTCAATGTGGATCCACTTGAACCGGGTCAGATCAACCTTCTCAAAGTCCTTGGCAGACACATCTGGCAGGTTCCTACATCACAAGACAGGAAGGAAAGAGAAGAAGCGTGGTGAGGTCAACCATGGCTAGGTTCTCCGATGGTACCCTGAGCCTGGTAGCAATACCTGCAGCATGGAAGGAAGCTGGGAAGCACAGGGCTGAGCCCTGTCCCACTTTGCTATGGGTTTCTTGTTTGTTTGTTTGTTTTGTAGTTTAGGTGTTTAACGTTATCTAAGGATAAACACAACTGCGACCTGTGACAGTCCCTCTCCACGTTCTTCGGAAACCACCGCCCCTAGAGTGCAAGAAACTACATTTCCCAGAAGGCCCTTCGCTGGAGCACACAACTCCCAGCATGCCATGGCCCCGCGAATTACAAAGCCTAAACCCGAGCTTTTCTTAGTGACAGTCTCCAGCTGGGAGCTTGCCAGTGATGGAACACGTTGTCCTGAGCTGCGCTTTACACTTCATCCCTAAGGTCAAAGTTGGCACTTTGAGGAAGGTTTCATGTTTGGCTGGTCTAGGTGTGGAGACCCAGGAAAGCATTGGCCTTGACACGCCTTGATCGCACAGCCTGTGATCTCTGCAGTGCCGGGGCACCTGCCATCCACTTCGCTAGTGGCGTGGGCCTTTCTGGGGCTGCTTTCTCATCGGCACACAGGACTGAAAGTCCTTAGCCTCCTGGGCCTGCTGCAGTTGGAGCTATGTACGGGAATATACCTGGAACCAGGCCAGAAGGCAATAAACATTTCTACCGGGCTCCCGTCCCTGCTTGAGAGTACCATGTACGTACTTGATCAGAGTTGCTGCCCACAGCACTTGCTTAACAGGCAGATGACAAAGATCGCCTAATTGGAAAGTCACCTTTAATATGTGAATGCCCACTCACTTATATATACATAGCTTACCTTGGCCCAGTGGTCATGCTAGGTAGTAGTAAGCAAGGCATGAACCCTGGGGCCCTTAGCCTTGTCCCCCTGTCAGCCTTTGTCCAATACCTGTCCTGTACTGGGGTTCTTGGTAAACTGAACTTCTGGGTTTGTCCAGGAGGCACCTGGGAGTGGGACTTGGAAGGAATGCTCGTCTGTGTATTATTAGACAGTCCTGACCCACTGATCTGGTGTTCCCTTTCCCCTTCCTTCAGTCATGCATACTAGTGGTGTGTGCTGTTTGGTTTCATCATACCAGGACCTTTGGAGGGGCCCAAACCTCAGCTCCTTGATGCCATGCTGCAGGCTCGAAAACTCCGGGGTTGGCCTTAGAAATCTCAGTGGGCCCCTTAGCCCTTCAAGGCTTTATATAGGTTGTCTCCCGTCTCCCTGCACCCAGACCCAAGCTGCTGATTGACTAATTTTGAAGCAATCATATCATCAATTACAGTTTTACAGGTCTGCCTGCTTGCCCGCCCTTGTGCTGGGCAAGAGCAAATTACCAAGCAGGGCAGAGCTGACCCCGGCCCACCTCTCTTCTCCCCTCATTGAAAACAATTTTAAAAATTTCCCAACAGTTTGGCATGGGGACAATTTCTGGTGTAGAGAAGCCATGGATGGAAAGCCGTTGGTTTGCCCAGTGGTGAGAGAGGGCACTGATTGGTGGGTTGTGGTAGGGCAAGGCCAAGGGGCCCTTACGTGTCGTAGAGTATAATGGTACGGGAGCCATTGGAGTTGTTGACGATGCAGCAGGAGCAAGGGGTATCTCCCTGGCTCTGCCAGGCCACTTGAGACACATCCACGCCCCTCTGCTTGAAGTCAGCCACCAGGAAGCTTTGGGGGAGGGACCCGAGCCAAGGAGAGGGCAAGGAGACACAGGTTAGAGCTACACATAGCCTAGACCTCCCCGAGGAGTGGGAAGGGTGCGCTGGAGCACACGGGCCTGTGAAAGAAGAAGGGTCCTGTCCTAGGAGCGTGACCACGGCAGCGACAGCAGCTGGCAAAGCGCAGACAGCTGTACAAACCTGTAGGCGTGCAGGATGGTGCGGCTACCGCTGGCCTCATTGACGATGACCGTCGAGGTGGGGATGGAGCCCTCGGTCTGAAGGACCGCGTATTGTAGGTCCACAGAATGTCGGCGGAGGTCATCCAGGACAAAACTGCCGGGGTGGAGTAACCCCCCCCCCCCCGGAAGGGCAGTTTGGCAAGAGTTTAGGGGACTAGAAGGGAGGACCACCAGGGACCCTGAAAGGCAAGGGGATGAGCAGAGGAAGTAGGAGGGGACTGGCAATCTCAGTCTTGCCACAGGTCATGATGGCAGGGGGCAGAAGAGGCAGGGTGCAGAGCCTGGGTATCAGAGAAGTAGGAACATGAATATTCCAGGTCAGTCTTGGTCCAGTTTAAGGTTTGCCCCCACCCTTAAAGCTAGAAGGGGTAGAGGTAGATTTGGGGCCCAGAGCCTGTATTGAACTAATTGTGTGTGAGTCCTGTGGCCTGGTTCCTGCAAGACCGAGGCAGAATTAATAATTAAACGCCAGGGCGATACTTTGCACCCCTCCCAGCTGCCCTCTGCGTGTTCATCCTCTTGGCATGATGCTTTCTGGGGTCCCTTCCAATCTTGCCATGGTACCTCATCTTACATTTCCTCCCAGCTGACCATCCTGGAAGTGGTGCTGCTTTAAGGGGCTTGTTCAGTACTGGCTTCTCAAATGTGAACTAGCCACTATGGGCAATGAATTGGTGCAGTTGTGAGAGGCCTGTAAATATGCACATGGTCCAGGACAAGTTCACATAATGCCCTCTCGTTAGAATGAGCCTAGGGACATCACTTCAAGATTAGCCCAGCGGGACAGCAAGGAGGCTGGTGCCGCTCCTCCCAGGAAACCCCAGAGCCAGCAAGCAACTGTGCCCAGCGGCCCGGCTATCCTATGAGCAGACCTCCCTTTCAGTAGCACCTAAGCTGGACTGAGTTGTAGGACCCACACAATGCATCATCCCTGGACTTGACTACTTGAGGGTCCCTTTAGAGTTTTCCCCAAAGCATTAGAAATACGGTTTGGTTTGCTAACTGACTTTTTGCACCCACCATGCCTGGCCCATGGTAGGTGCTCATTAAGTGTTTGCTGAATGTGTAGAGAGAACTCTGAATAGCTCACGCACCAATGATTGCTCCATGAAGGAGAGTCCATCATCTAAACGAGACCCAGGGGTCTGCTTCCACCTAGGAAGGAACTACTGTCCCATCTGCAGGACGGGGTCTCTCACTCTCTTCGCTTTGTTCCAGTTCACCAAGACTGGGAATTTGACTGGCAGCATCCCCCTCAAACTAGGGATCAAAGGGCTCTGCTTTACAGTTCAGAAACCTGGCAGTCTGCCCCAGTGCCCGCAGTGGGCAAAGTGTGGGCCACACCTCCCGATAAGTGTGTGCTGAGTTGACAGTGCCAGGAGTCAAAGGGCTCTTGGGTCCTTGCTGTAGTTGACACGGAGAAGGCGCGTGGGTCACTTGTGGACCGCGGCCTTCACTATAAATGGGTTTGGGGTCCAATGCTAACACGTGACCTCAGGATGTCCTGAGAAGTGTGCTCTTCGTACTTACTCACAATGAGGACATGGGCAGTGGCCCTAATCCTTAACTGTGGGCCCTCATCCTGTGACCATGGACGCTGGATGCCCCGGAAGCAGGGAAGGGTACAGCATCTCCCTAAGTGCCCCTTACATCAAACACGGCAAGGATAAGGGGCATGAGAAGGGCAAAGGCAGATTCTACAGGAAGCAAGGAAGGAGGTGGGAGGTGGTGGGCAGCCTAAGCAGGCTCTGCAGAAGGCTGTGGAAACGGAACCCTTACAGGAATGGGGTTAGTACCCGACCAGCAGACGGATCACCCCAGAAGGATCAAGGAATCCGGGACTCCCCTGTGGGTCACCACCCACCATTCTTCTACCCTGCCCACCCAGGGTTCAGACAACTCTCCTCTCACCCTACCCTACAGGCAAGCATCCCCTCAACAGCTACTCCCTCCCCAACTTACTCGGCAACATGGCCAGGGGCCAAGGAGCCCATGAAGGCGCAGCGGGCTCCGAGCAAGGAAAGGACAGTACAGGAGTTGGACGCGTTGCCTCCACGTTGCCATCTCTGGGATAGGCACCTGGAAAGCACAAGGCACATCCCCACAGCCTCAGTAGACTGGTCCTGGGGGAAGCAGGACCAACCCCGGTCCCCTGTGTAGGAATCCATAGAATGCAAGAGCCGTGATGAATCTGTTTCAGCTCAGTTTCTAAACGGAGCTGCTGAGACTCAGTCATGGGACAGGGCTCAGCTGTGGGTCTGCCCCCCCCCCCCCGCATCTTGGGCTGTATTCAAGTGTGTAACTGTGTCCACCTGTTTTTAGTGAACCAGGAAACCTGCTGGGGCCCTCTTAATTGGACATCTCTTCCTCAGTTGCAATGAGATGTCACAGTGAAACCCTTCAAGGTCCTGCTGAAGCTTCTAGCTATGCAGAAGTGCTCAGCGTGGGGACTTTTTTTTCCCTCCTCAGCATGCACTCTGGGAAACAGGAGTCATCTCCGACTGTGAACCCCATTCAAGCTCTGAGAGTCCTTGGGTCAGGTGGGGTGGAGCTGTCAGGAAGGATTGGGTCCTATTCAGTCTTGCTCTTCTGGGTGGCTCGACAACAGAACCCAGAGATAGAGATGCTACACAGTCACAGGTATGCAGAGGGGGGACACCCTGAGGGCAGGAACCTGACAAACAAGGGGGGGGCTCTTCCAGAGGCACCTCTGACAGTATCTACCTTCCACATGGAACCTGTTCTATCAGCAGGGGATAAGAGTCCTTATCCCCTTCAGGAAAACAAGCTCAAGGGAATGTGGTGTTCAGTTCTAGCAGAGTGTGGTGCTACATGTCTTCTGATTCAAATACAATCCCTGGAGAACTTGGAGGCAGAAACATACATGTTCTCCTGGAATAAGAAAAAGCCTAGGGCTGGGGAGATGGTTCAGTGGTTAAGAGCATTTGTTCTTGCAAAGGACCAGGATTCCGTTCCCGGCACCCACACAGTGACTCACAATCATCCATGCTTCCAGTTCAGGGCATCCAAAGCCTTCTTCTCTCCTCTACAGGTGCCAGGTACACAAATGGTGCAAACACACACACGCAGACAAAATACTCATACACATAAAGTCAATAAATCTGAAATATGGGACCAGAGAGATGGTTCAGTGGTTAAGAGCACAGAGCACTGTCTGCTCTTCCAGAGTCCCGGGTTCGATTCCTAGCACCTGCTTGTCAGCTCACAACCATCTGTAACTCCAGCCCAGGGGATCTGACACCCTCACACAGGCATACATGCAGGCAAAACACCAGTGCACATAAAATAAAAACAAATATGCCACTTAATTAAAGAGAGAGAGGAGGGCTGGAGAGATGGCTCAGCAGTTAGGAGCACTTGTTGCTCTTGCAGAGGATCCAGGTTCAACTCCCCGCACCCACATTGTGCACACAACCATCTGTAACTCTAGTTCCAGGGGATTCGTTGCTCTCTTCTGACCTCTTCAGGCACCAAGATTACATGTGGTGCACACACATGTAGGCAGAACACTCACATATATAAAAATAATAAATCTTTTTTTTTTTAAGAGAGAAAAAAAACCTTATCTTCCCACCGAGCACCAAGGTGTAGGGGTGGCTCTATTTCTGTAAGTAGGCTGGGTCTCCTCCTTCACCACTATCCCTGCACCTCTGGCAAGGGCTCTAACCTCTGGCAAATAAAGCAACTCAAAGCAAAGGCTAAACTCCATGGGCCAGGTGACGACAGAGACAGGAAGAGTGCACACTGAACTGGAGACATGTGCTGTAGTCACTGCCCTGACACTTGTTTGGTATGTGGTCTGGGAAACACGGTTTGGCTCCTCCAAATCTTCAGCTTCCTCATCTAAGGAAAGGATCGGAATGGTGCTTTCACAGTTCCCAAGGAGTCCAAAACACCAAGAGCACCCAGCCTCCCCATCTCTGTAAGTTCATTGCTTTCAGCGCTCAGTGTCTTGCCAGAGGTCAGCCTTGAACTTGCTTTCGCCAGTTCTTCGCTGAGACAACTAATAGCCAAGAGACAATCTGTATCGCTCAGAGCACCAGAGCCCACGCACCAAGAGAAAGCCAGTGTTCCACCCTGTAGCCATGCCTTCACGGCCTGGCAGCACAGTGGAGTGGCCCTTATCAGGAGTAAAGATAAAATCTGTCAAAGGACATTTCAGCTTCCACCAGACAACTGGTGGATGTTCAGAGTACATTCACTAAGATGTTCACCCATATTTGTAAAAAGACTTCTGGTAGACTTCTTTTGGCACTTAGTGCCAGGAAAAAACTTGAGCCAAGTTTCTCCCTATCCAACCCCGAGAGGCTCCAGGTTTGCTTGTGCTGCCAGCCAGCCCTGAGCTAGGCAAGGCTCAAACGCCTGGCTTTTAAATGTTTGTGAGTGATTTAATTGCACATATCACTCACTGTTAGCTACCCCGTGTTTTATTTTAGCAGTAGGCGGTAAATTGGAAGTGCATAGGCTTGGGGTTGTGGGGAAGGGGGAACTGAAGGAAGTATGGCACCTTATCAGCTGTTGTGCCCTTGGGAGGGAAGAATCATTTCAGCCCAGTCTCTAGAGTGAGGATTCTGACAATCCACTAGGTTCTAGGATTGAGATGGGAACCAGCTAACAAGAGTCACGATCCCAGCGCAGTGTTGCATTATAGTTAATTCCAGACGTTGAAGGAGGAATTTAGGACAGCTTGAACTACATAGCAAGACCCCGTCAAAAGAAAACAACAAAACCCCTGAGTCTTATTTTTAATGGCTTCCAAGTCTCCTGTCTTCACTTCTGCTGAGAGCCACTAGGCTCCCCTGGCAGAGAACACCCGCTCTCCAGCTGGACTCATGCCTCACTGCATGGGGACGGGGATATCCCTGGCTTAGCAGCCAATTAGCAATGACAGGCACAAAGATAGGGCTATGAGGCCCTGGGGTCTCGGAGGGGCCTGGGCGCCCCTACCTGCGATCCGTGTCCTCCTCGGGGTACTTGTCCACCACATTGATGATGTCCAGCACCACCAGCCCCACGCACAGGATCTGCTTCTCTTCCATGAGGGTGCTCCCCAAGCTTCCTACCAGCAAGCAAGCGGAGGGAATTCCTACTGGGCTCTGCCTCTTATCAACTGGAGGTGTCCCAGCTTCTCAGGGGCTGCCCTGGCTCCTCCTCAGTCTGCGGAGCTCCTCCCGGAGTTACCTAATCCGGCCAAAGGCAGAACCTCTTACTTCTCCGCCTCAGTTGTCAGACAGAGTCCGGCTAGTCCCACTAATGCAAAGCGAAAACGCACTACTAATGCATCACCTTTCTGGTCCCTCTGCACCTGCTGCTGACTCCAGACCCTGGACCACCCAGACGAGCTGGCTCAGGCAACTGAAACCCCTCCTTCGCAGAAGAAGCACCGAAGCACACGCTCACCGCGTCCCCGCCGCTGTGACCCACCCTTCCCAGCCGAAGTCCCGCCCCAGTCAGGCCAGCGAGCCTCACGTGACTGGGAACGCAGCTAGCCGGCAAGGTGGTGCTGGCCATGCGCCCCCTGGCGGCCGCTGGAGGACCGGCCGCCGTGATCCGCCTTAGCGGAGAGCGAGACCACCTGACAGGGCTCCCACCATAGAACTCCGTCTCCTCCCGTCCTGTCCCTTATCGACCGCCGAACAAGTACCGGAGAAGAATAACTGTTTTGTAGAAAAAAATTAAGTGTCTTTATTCCTGAATAGATTAGTACGGCGGTGCGGGCTCGGGAAAGCCCTGGACCCCGAGGATTGCGGAAACAAGGGGTGCGAGGGACGGTTCCTCTTCCGCAGCCTGGGTCCTGGAGGGCACTGGTGGGGACGGCAGTGAGGCCAAAAGTCAAGAGGAGACACCTAGGTCCCAGAGACCACGAAGTCACTGCGTGCTGAACTGCTGCTCTGGACGCCTGAACCGCAGTGGGGCGTGGTCTCCGGACTTGCCCCGCCCCAGCCTTGGTGGGGAGCTGGGACCCAGGTGGCCCTGAGGCCTTTGAGGATAAGTTTGGTAGTCTGGCCGACCCTGTCTACACCTGTTCAAGCTCTGTGTCCTCGTAGAGCAGGGCTCCACTGAAGATGGTGAGCGGCTCCTCCGAGTGCGCCAGCTGCCCCATGACCAGGTCTATGCAGACAGTGTCTCCGACCTGCAGCGGCAGGATGAGGCTGAAGACGCCCAGAGCACCCGGGCTGGGCTGACTTTCGGCCACAGGCTTATTCTCCAGTCCCTCGGGCTCATAGCCTCCTGAGTCTATGCGGGCCACACCCAGGTTGGAGCGCGACAGTACTGCCTCCACTTTCTCGTGTCGGTGTCCAGTTAGTACAGCGCTCAGCAAGTAGCGTCCAGACAGTGGTGCAGTGAAAACACCTAGGGACAAGAATGACAGTCAGGAGTTGAGACGGTGTCTGGGAAGGTTTCTCGGGAAGGGAGTGGGCACAGCACCCCTGGACTGTGGAGAGGCCCACCGGTCCTTTCATAGCCACTCCACTGGACTGTATCTCCAGCACTGACTGCAGGACGCGGGTGGGAGCCTGTCCCTATAAAAAACCTGTGACCTGAAAGTCTTCCCTCCCCAACTCTCTCCGTGTCCAGCCATGGCAAAAACGCACGGAGAGGAATAAAGACCTTGCTAAATCACAAAAATGAAAAGATGTACTTGCCTACAGAGGTATGAGCATTAGCACTGCCCAACCTCACCCATTTCCTCAACTGCTCCACCCAGCCCTCCTAGGTTACCTGTCTCCGGGTCATAGTAGCCTCCATCGTTGAGTAGGACTCTGTCGAAGGGGACTGTGCCAGGTTCCGACCGAGGTAAACTCAGGGCAGCTGAAAATGCCACCCTCGGCACCGGGGACGCTGGAGCTCCCTCCACTCCTGAATAGGGGTAGAGAGAGTTAGTTCATAACCTCTGCCCCCTTCCCTGCTGTCCAGGTTGCCTGAGGACTAGCCTCCTCCAGCCCCAAGCTCATTTCCTCTTCCAGAGTCTAATGAGAAGAACTTACCCTGTTCACCTCGAGGACCTGTGAGAAGGAAAGGAGACAACAATGAGTCGGGCATCTCTCCCCATGCCACTCCTCAAATGTTGCTGTTTTGCAGGACTCTGAGTGTAGGTGTGTTTCCCATCAGGAGTGAGGTGCCAAGCAAAGAATAAGTAGGGTCGAATCTGTGCAGCTGCTGGGCCATAGCCTTAGCCCTGGGCTGTGCATACCCCAGATGGCCCTTGTAGGCTAAGCATTAATCTGCAGTATGGCAGGGAGAACAAGATACCCAGCAGCCAAATGGCCATCTCAGCTACTAGTCACTTTCTTCTCTACTCACTGTTAGACACTAGGAACCCCCATTTCCTCGTCCCTTTCCCCTTCTCAGTCAAGCTCCGTGTGGAGTGTTATGCCTGGGCTGCCGGGAGAGTGGCAACCCTGGTTGTAGCAAGTGTCTCAACCAGTATACCTGGTGGTCCAATGGGCCCCTTCTGTCCATCCTTGCCAGGAGGTCCTGGGGGTCCTGCAGGGCCTGGAGGCCCCTGTAGTCCAGGAGGTCCAGCCTCGCCCGAAGGCCCTGTGGTGAGAAAAGCTAGTTGAAGGACAATTGTACAGGGAGTTTCTGATTGACAGGAGAGGTGGCAGTTCTGCCGTTAGAGAGGCAGCTGAGGCACGTGGGTCTGGAGGGCTGTGGAGACGTGGTGCCCCTTGGGCTGCAGGCAAGGCACCTGAGTGACAGAGCCACATCCCACCTCCACTCAGCCCCTCTAAGCAACCAGAGGAAGGCAGGGAACTAGACCCTGACAGCTTCTCTGCAGGCACACTTCAGCCTCCCAGAGACACAGTAAGGGCTACAGCACAGCAAAGAGAAGGCAGGGGAGACCAGGCCTCCTTGCTGCTTATTGTAGGGAGGAAGGGAACAAGGGAGGGCTTGAAAGGGGACCCTCTCACGCCTTCTGTCCTCACCAGTGAAGTCCTTCAGGCTAAACTGCTGCAGACGGTCTTCCAGGAGTAGCAGGGAACTGTTGAGGGCACCAAGTCGTCTGCCCAGGCCTGCCTGGCCCCCCAGCAGCTTCTCCAGCAGGGCTGCCTGCGTGAGGCTGGTGCTGTTGCTTTCCCGTAGGGCAGCCCAAAGCCCAGCCACATGTCTAGAAAGGCCCTCACGCAGGCCCTGTAGTCCCCCTGCCACGGTATCCAGTCGTTCACAGACTCCCTCAAGCCGGCCTAACCGCCCTTCTAAGCTAGGGCACTGGCCTGCCTGTGCCTGGCCCTCCTCCAGGCTTCGGAAGCGCTCCTCACTCTCTGTAACGTGTTCCGTGGCCTCCTGCTGAAGCCTGTTGATCTCAGAGATGATGCTGTCCTTAGTGGCCCCCAGGTCGGCCAGATCGGCACCCTGGCCCTCCACAGTGGTCTGGAGCTCATGCAGTGTGTCATTGAGGGAGCTGAAGGTGAGGATGACCTCCGAGAGTTCTCCCTGCAGGGCCTGGAGGGCTGAGCCCGAGCTGCCCCCGAACACGCTGAAGCCGTCCAGAGGCCCGCGGCTTGGTCCTCCAACACCTGGGCCAGCTCCAGGGCCCCGTGGAGGTAAGAGTGGGCAGGAGCAACGTTCCACGCCATCCCGAAGGCGGCCCAGCTCCTCCTGGACACCGCCACAGGCCCCACAGCCCTCGTCCCCGCGGGCTTGCAGCAGGCCCTCCAGTTGGCTGAGCCGGGCTGCTGTGAGATTGAGGCGCAGCAGGAGCTCTGCTGCTGTCTCCTCCTGTGCGTCCACGCGCTCCTGCAGTCGGCCCACAATCCCTTGCAATCCCTCCAACATGGCCTGCTGGGCCTCCCCTGCTGCTCCAACTTTGTGCAAGTTCGAGCCCACCAACCGTAGCTGGCCCTCGCTGTCCAGCACCCTGCGCTCCAAGGCACTGAGGGTCTCACTGACCCGAGAATCCTGTTCCCCGGGACCCCTAGAGCAGAGCTGTCCACAAGCCTGCACGGCCCCTGGCACCTGCTCTTCCAGCAGATCCAGGCGGCCACCCAGCTCCCTGCTCACATTGGCCATGTGCGCCTCCAGCTTTTCTAGCCGTCCTAAAGCATCAGGCAACCAGTGGCCCAGCCTCCCTGGTCTCCCAGGCCAGTCCTTCTCTTGATCCTCTGAGGGACCAAGGGTAGAGTTGAACCGGTCTTCCAGGTGGGAAAGGCGGGAGGCCAAGCTGGTGTAGCCCGGGGGGTAGCCCCCCTGCCCAGCTGCTCCTCCCAGCTCAGAACCTCGGCGCCCACTGAGCACTGTCACTGAGCCGGCCACCACATCCAGCCTCCGCTCCAGCTCTGACAGTCGCCGGCCCAGTTCTGGGGGACAGCATTCCTGAGAGGGTCTCCTGGCCATGGCAGGCCCCAGGTGCTGCTGCTGCTGACGCTCCTCCAGGGAGGACAGTAGCTTCTCCAGTGTGCGCAGCCGCTCCCTGTCCTCTTGCTGCTGCTGGCGGAAGCCATCCAGCCCTGCCAGACACACGGAGCAAGACTCCTGCAGCTGCCGGTCCAGCTGCCGCAACACCTCCTCACTAAGGCCAGAAGGGACTGGGACAGGGGCTGGGGACCTGCCGCCTTCACCAGCGCCTCCGTTATGATGGTTGTTAAGGTGGCCCAGTTCCTGGTCATGGGTGGAGACGCGGTTGTCAAGGAGCTGCAGCTGATGCTGGATCTCATTGAGGGTTTCATGCACACCTGGACGGGCAGCCGCATCTGCTGGCTGCTGCCTCCCATTGAAGGCCGTCTCCACAGCCCTCTGTACATCTTCAGTCAGGCGCCCATTTATTCCCTGCAGGACACCTCGAAGGCCTTGCAACTCTTTGGTCAGGCTCTGTACCTGCTGCTCCAGCTGCTGCACTTTCTCCGATTCCCCAGGACCTGAAGACAGAGGACAGCAGATGACTGAGGGCCCAGGCCCTGCTTCCCCAACTCCAGCAAGAGTCAGTGGCTCTCCTTTGCACGATTCGGGCAAGAGAAAAAAAGAAAGGAAATACTGTTCACCGAATGCCCTTAGCCCAGCTTTGAATCACAGCTCTTAAAACTTCTACTAGGCAGATACTCTTGCCATTTGATGACATGGGAAGCCAAGAACCAGAGGAATTAGGCAAATAGTCCCAGCAAGAGTCAGAGGCATTCCTTTGGATGATTTGGGCAAGAGAAAAAGTTTGACAAGGGGCCGTGTCAAATTTCAAATCCAGACCATCTGGCCACCAAACCTACCCACATCGTTTCCACTTGTCCTTAAGACCTCTTGACTTCTTGGAAACTGTTTCCTTATCTGGGAAATGAGAATGACACCATGTGCCCTCCCTCTTAGGGCTGTCAAACAGTACAAAACGGGAAGGCGAAGTACTGTAGCAATGACAGGGCATTTCCCTATAACACCACAGGGATAAACAAGAAACCTTTGCAGCAAGCCTGCGAGGGTGCTGGCTG